AGAAAAAAAGACAGAACAGAAAGACGCCAATGTTTAATTTTGTAGTCTGTACCACGAAATCTAAAACTTCGAATTCCCACAGACACCAATTTAACGTAAAAAATAAGCAAATCAGATTTCACCCGCAATAGGACGATTTTTTTCCCTGTCCTCTTTGGCTTTTTATTTGGTTAACTTAAGGCATTCGTTTTAAAATTTTGAATTGAGAGAAGTAAAAGCAATAATGATAGTAGCCTAGTAGCTAACCATACCAAAATAAATGTTGCCCAAATTCCCAAAAACCAAACCGCCCTATGTTCAGTGGTAAATTTTCTGAAATAAGGGGTTTGTTTACTCTTCGTTTATTATAATTATAATTTAGAATTTTTATTTTGATTTTTAAAAATTTAAAAATTTTAGAATAAAATTAAAAAATTTTATAAATTAATTAAATTTAAAATTTTAAGTATTTATTTTAAAATTTTATACCCAATTAATTGGAACTTTTAATTTTTAATTTTTGTGTTTAATTATTAAAGTTAATTGTTTGAATTTTATAAATTAAAATTAAAAACCAAAAACCTCAGTCATATTATATGAATCCTTAGTTCTTCAGGCGATTAATTTCATGTTCAAAGTTTAATCTGCTTCCTTTAATCATTTAGTTGATTTAATTCTTTTTCTCTCTTTTTTAGGTGTGAAATCGGTTGATGTGAACAGAAAGCAGAGCAGGGTAACAGTGAGCGGATACGTGGAGCCAAACAAGGTGTTAAAGAAGGTGAAGGGCACGGGGAAGAGGGCGGAGTTCTGGCCTTACGTGCCTTACAACTTGGTGGCGTACCCTTACGTTGCTCAGGCCTACGACAAGAAGGCGCCGTCGGGTTATGTTAAGAACGCTGCGCAGGCGCTGCCCAGTCCTAATGCAACCGACGAGAAGCTCATGACCCTCTTCAGCGACGAGAACCCAAATGCATGTTCGATTATGTAGGCAGTTTTGGTGTAAAGGGATGGGAGCAGTTTTCTTTAAACGAAGAGGATTTGGTGTTGTCTAGGGAATGTTACATGGGCACTTAAGTGAATAGTGATATTTGTAGCTTTTGAGTTTGTATGGTGAGAAAATTATGGTTTGTTTAATTATTTTGATCAATATTATATCAGTTTAGTCTTTACTCTCGTGCTTTTAATTAGTCTGTAGATTAGTAATTAGAAAATAATTCAGTTATAATATAATCTTACAAAATAGTCACGTACAAATAACATTATATGCGATATTTGTGATTAATCTAGCTATTGATCATTATATGCAGAGTTTGGAATATATTCATTCACTTATTTTTTAATGTTATTTAGTTATTAGAAATATGAAAACTAAGATGTCTTTATGTTCAAAACGTCAATTACAACTATCCGTTAAGTGAATCTTGCTTTGAAACTTACTTAATAAATGATTGTGATAAACGTTCTGTGTATTAAGACGTCTTGATTTTTCAAGACTTTCTTTAGTTACTGTGAAATAAAATTGTGTATAGGTTACCATTATAATATAAAATATTTTAAAAGTTTTAATCATGACATCAAAAGGGGACTCAAGGTTAGGATACAGTACAATTTTTTGACCTTTTTCTTATTGTATGTCAATATTAATACGTAATTTACACATATTAGAAATCAATTAAACACAGTACGTTCTTTACTCACTATTTCTTCTCTAAAAGTTTAACTCCACATTCCGAAAATTCAACATATAAAAGAAAAATAAACCCAAGAGTTTGATGGGTCCGCTCCTAAATAAGTACAATTTTTTAAGGCTAAGTAGCTCAGGATATTTAAGTTTAATTATACACTGTACTAATGTGAAGAAGCACTTTAAAATCACCCATCAAGATATTAATCTCAAGATATGAGCAAAATAGCCTGAAAACACTCTAACCTCAAAAAAAAAAAAAAAAAAGAGTTAATTACTACGAGACTACATATTTAAACCATCATTTTAGGGTATACGCTTTAAATTTGGGATGTTGGAGGAAGGGACAAATAGTTCATAGTCTTCTAAATTTGTTTATTCGATAACGCATTATTGACTCCATCCCAAAAAAAAAAAACATGCATTATTGACCTTTAATTCCGCCGTAATCAACACCACATAACATAAACGAAATTAAATAATGTATATGCTACTTGATTCTACTTACACTAATTTGAGTATTAAGGGAAAGCAAGATCTAATTCACGTAACCGCATTTAATTTGTCTTTTTGTAAATATTTCCTTAATTTCCTTTTCTTCAAAGTTAGACGTTTGTATAAAGTACTTACTACAATCCATACAAAGAATAATTGTCGGAAACGCATCGAGGGAATTTCTTCCAACACCATATTCCTCCCTCCATTTATTTTTAATAAATTTAATTTAATTTTTAAAATTTTAAGATATAAATTTTAGACAAAAATTTAATGATTTATATGAACAACAATTAAAATTTTTTTATTGCTATATATAATTTTTTTAAATATTTTCATTTGATTAAAAAAATTTAATTTGAATTTATATAAATTATTAAATTTTTGTCTAAAATTTAAAATTAAAAAAATAAAATTTATTAAAAATAAATAAAAGAAGTAATATTCTATTTTTATATCTGGGCCGATGAGAAATTAAGCGTCTGTCTGATTTGGTTCAAATCTACATCCAAGATATATAAGAGTATGATTTTAATTTTGGATAATGATTGAGTCAGTATTACTAGTAATGTTTATCCCTTTTCGGTCATTGAAAAGTTGCATAAATTTTTGCTCAACTGAGAATTTGCACGCCACGAGTCTCTTAACATCAATTATAACAAAGACTTGAATGTTGTTTGATGAGACCAATAGGCAAAACAATGTTTTACAAGTGGGGTGTTAGTTGTACTTCTTTCGATCCTGATAAGATTAAAATCCTTGTAAATTGTAATGATACTAAACGAGAAATTTTCATGGACACAAATTTAACTTCAGTTCAAAAAATTTTAAAAAAAAAAATTCATGGACACATGAAATCGTCATAAATTTCCTGCAATTGCTGTTTTGAATTATATTATTTTCTTCGCTCAACCTTAATTGGTTTAGATTTTTTGTTTCTAATAAAATATAATATTATAATTAATTGATAAAATTTTATGTTATACTTATTTATTATGATATATATTATACTTATTTTCTTAAAGTAAATAAAATATAAATAAATATATTAAATAATATTTTTAATTAAAAAATATTATATACAACTAAATTTAAATGTTCTTAATTAAAAAATTAAGACAATTAAAATTAAACAAAAATAGTACAATATAACAAAATGCAATGAGTACCTATTTACAAAATATATATAATAAAACTTTACTTATAAAAAATTTTTATATATTACATTTATATAAAATTTTAATTATATATATATATATATTAAGTATCTCAATTCTCATATAATTGAGGTTCTTTGTTATTGACTACCGGTATGACCGAGTCCCGGACTTTCACCTCCCCTGGGCACTTGCCACGTATATGACGTCAAAAACTTCATTGGTAGTGATTTTCTCACTTTCCCTTCTTGCTGAGATAGAATGTGAATAAAATTATATAAATAAAGGTGGTAAGAAAAAGTTGTCGTATATAGCTATTTATTCTCTAAATCTCAATAGCTTGAACTTTTTAACTTGGTAATCTTGAATTCGATTTGGGGAAAAGAGATGCATGGGCTATCCTTATTAGCCTCCATATATATTAGATGTTAAAAAAAAAAAAAAAAGCTAGAAGAAAAAGTAGAGTTGTGGGAAGTGAGTTAGGTGTGTGTAATTGTTGAATTAAGGTTAAATGTCAATTTTACCCTCTCAATTTTAATATTTTACATAATTTTTATCTTTTAATTTTTTAATGTATTTTTGTAATTATTCAATTATGAAAAATGAATTTTTTTTAGTTTTTCTATTAACTACTTTGTTAAGTTTATTCATATCTATATGTATATATTTTTAATCTTTAAATTTTTAAGTTGAAGGATAAAGATGTAAATTTATTATAAATTAAATGACTAAAAATATATATTTAAATAGATTTAACAAACTAATTGATAGAAAAATTAAAAAGTATATTTTTCATGATTAAGAGATTAAAAAAATACATATAAAAATTAAGAGGTAAAAAAAATATAAAACTCTAAAATTAAAAAAATAAAATTGACATTTAACATTATATTAAAGTTGTATATGGATAAATTAATGAGTCTGCTTGGCTTTTGGAGAGCATATAAATATATTGAGATTTAGAAGCAAAAGATATACATGGAGATATTTTATCTTGCTATATATTATAATAACCAGGAGAGAATGATTAGTGGGTAAACTACTAGTGGCCATAAAAGCGACATGTGCTTGTGAGGCATGGCATGTACTTAATTCCCTATAATTATTTCCACACTTGCTGTCATGTCCTATGTAAATCGTTTTTATTGTAAGGTCACAATTGTGGAGTTGGTTAAATGGCCACTCATCAATTATTATAATCTTCTAGGCATTTCGAACTATGAATTTTAGGTGACCCACAGATCCACAACTGTAACAGAAGCAGACATGATCTTCTTTGTCCCTTTCCAAGCATGTAAATTATTTGCTCACATACGTCAGTTTGTTCCACAGGGGCTTTCTTAGTTCAAAAATGTTTTTGTGTAGTCTAGCTTATATCGGACGGGGCAAAATTAATCGTCAAATAAAAGTTAAACTGCCAAAAAAGAAACTTTTCTTGGTAGGTCTGCTTAAAAAAAAAAAAGAAATTAAGGGAAAATTTTGATCCTGGAATTTTTTTTGTAAGAAAATGCGGTGAATGGGAAAGCATGATGTTGCGGTTTTTACCAAAGTTATTAATCTCGAGTTGGTATATATATCAACTTTATTATTGAAATGGTACATATTAAATTTTAAAATTTTTCACATGTTGATTTGGATTTATTACTATAGATCTATATAATTATACATTAAATATCAAATTTTAAAATAATTATAAAATAAACTAATATAATTAGGGATAAGGTAACAATCCTTTCTTCCTTCAACCATTAACCTTTCTTCTTATGCACAAAATTGAATTCCTTTCACTTTACCAAATCTTTCATAAACTCAAACACACCAAAAGTAAAAACTAAGCCACAGAAAAAAGCATAAGAATGTCACACCACATTATACACACAAAGCAAGCCTTCACCTTAAGAAGCCACACAAAGGAAGCCTTCACCTTAAGAAGCCTCTAGTGAAAATGATGTCGTTTTGGGCTAAAGAATCCTTCTTCTTCTTTTATTATTATTATTATTATTTAAATTTGGGTAATGTTTGTATTGGTTGAAATTTTGGTGTGCCAATCGGTATATTGGATTTTGACTGAATCACTCGGATTTTTATTGAAACAGAATTTCACCTTATATCGTTTCGGTCAACTTAAAAAATCGATACGTACCAACTATATTGGCCGGTATGAAACGATATTGATAACATTGGTTCCTACCCCATTTCATAAAAAAAAAAACGTAAAACTCCCAAATCCACAATTAAACGGTACGGTAATGACAGATTTATTTAAAAAAAAAGAGATAAATTATTTTTTTAAAATTATTGATTAAAATAAATTATTAATTATTTAATATGTGATATCATCATATATCAACTTTTTATTAAAAATACTTAAATGATAAATAAATTTTTTAACATATAATGATATCATGTGTTAAATAATTAATGATTTATTTTCATTAATAATTTTAAAAAATAATTTATTCTTACTTTTTTTTTTTCAAGGAACAAATTTGTTCATACCCTCTTATTTGAAGAGCGATTTAGAGGTTCTGCCTTCCATCTACCTCTCTAAAAAATGATGGAATATCAGAATATATAAAGGGAGTGTGTTGGCCCAAAAAAAAAATATATATATATAAAGAGAGTGAGTGGGAAAGAAAATAAAAAGACCAAAACAGATTCTTATTAATTTTGAATATTACTACTCTTAGTATTTACAAAGTTTGACATGAAAAAAGGAAGCCAGAGATGCTCCAAATTTCCTATCTTAGGGAGAAACCAAAGTTTTTTAAAGAAAGGTTAGTATTAAGAACTGTGGTTTCTTTTGCTAATGCTTTGGTATTGGGTTCGAGTTGGACATGTGTAAAGGACTCCAAACACTAACTTACAACTTTTAGTGGTAAGATAATATTGTATTTTAGTTTTCACACATCATAATAAATTAGTGATTTATATTTGGTCATCGACGGTTAAAATTGCATTTGATAGCTAATTACTAAAGTAAAATTAATAATATGAACACACAGTGTTGCATTTATTGTTATGTAAGTGTTGTTTTATAAATGAAGTTTAAAAATTAAGTTTAAAAATTAAGTTTTAAGATCAATATTTAAAAAACTTAATGTTTATAAATACATCAGATCAACATAGATAAGAAACTTTGACGGTAAATAAAAAAGAAAAAAAGAATGTGGCAAATTCAGTGGTGCATAAGGATCATGCATGGACCTTCCCTGGAACTTCATTTCCTCGCTTGTTTTCTTCCTTCTTTTTTCTCAGTCTTTTCAGTTGAAAAATAACTAATTCGCTAGCTGTGCATGAAACATTTATGCCTTTATTTGTTTTGGTGCATAACATTTATGCCTTTATAAAATGGCATCAAGGAAGAGATCATACAAGCACAACTTTATAAGGTCCATATAATATTTTCCAAAAAAATTTTGGGGAAAATTTTTTAAAAAAATTTCCTCATACCAGCTAACTCAATGGTTTAGGAATTAGGATTACACATGCCGATTTTAAAGCATTATGACTATTTCACAATCCATCCTTAAAGGTTTAGGATTTTTTTTTTTTAAATCAAATTTATTTAAAATTGTTACAAGAATTTTGATAGTTTGTACTACCATTGTAACAAAGAATCTGCAGAAGGAAGCCAGTGATATTTTAATGATCTATTTTCTGCACGGGCCAGCAGCCCAGTTTCCTTTCTGTCTACTTAAGGTAGGCCTAGATCTTACAGCTGACATGAGCCCATAAGTCACTTGGGCTATATGTTTATGGGCCTAGTTTCAACTTCAAGAGCTCTAAAAGTTATTTATAGTTCCATTATAATTAGTGCATCGACATCAGTCAATAACTAGAAAATATAGGCAACGTTTTCCTGCTATGTACCAGAAAATAACAGAAAAGTTTTTGCAAATCTAGACAGATAAAAAAGAATGTATATTGAAAATGAAAAAAAATACGTTTAATACCTTTCCAAACTAAAAAAAAGAAAAAGAAAAAGTATCATTCTCAAAAAAATTAATGCTGCACAATCTATCATAAATAGTTTCATAATATGTTCTTTGACAAAAAGTGTCACAAAAGAACCGTCTAAAAGACAACAATTTTGTCATATAATCGTATCACTATATGCTGTTATTGCTATACAAAAAAAATATTATAGCCACATAAATTATAAGTTTATTAAGTAATAAATATTAATTATTTTATCAACTACCCATATTATGTAATAATTATAATTATTAATTATTTTTAATAATAAAATAAGATAAAATAAATCTTTTGAGTATATATTTTCTTATGTGGCAATGACATCCTCCCGCCAGCAGCCAGGAAGAAAGTGATAGCAGGCAAGCTGAACCAATTGTGCCATGAAAAAAGTGGGTGATCAATCAAACAAAAGCAAAAGAGTCATATCATCTAACCTTTCAATTTCTCATGTCAAAGTAAACTCACTTTTTGCTGATTGGTATTCAGCATACATTTATATAAATTTAACTCCATTAAGTTTCAATTGGTATTCAACATACATTTATACACCCATTATTTTGTTCTACTTGTTTGTTTGGGTCAAAATGTTAAATGGGCATTAAAAAAAAAAATCTTAAATGTGGGCAAAAAACAAATCCCAGTGGCCTTGTCTTTGGTCTAGCCCAGCACCTATATATATTAATATATTTAGAGAGAACTCAATAAAGAAAAGTTTATCATATGTTAACTTTGTGTGTATTTCTTTATTGATTTTTCTTTTGATATATAGCAGAAATTTTCTTTTTTAGTAAATATTTTTATTATTTTCTTATATATATACTACTGTTATTAAATGAGGTGAGTTACTAAGTCAAAAATTAAAAAAAAATTAAAGTCAAATATTTTGGCAAAAGTTAATTAATGCCAATTTTGACTATAACATTCTTAATTAAGTGCTTTATATATATATATATTGGTCTCAATTGTTTTCTATATTTAGGTTGTAGTTTTTGTTAACTTGAAGAATAATAATAGAAATGACATGACCAAAATTATTTGAGGATGAAATGGGGAGCGAAATGGAATGGATAAATGCCATTTTCCATCTTTATCTATGCTACAAAATGGTGGCATGTGCTGGAAAAAGGTAATTTGACTAATTTCCATTCGTCTGTGCTTCTAATCCAAACATCATGACTTGTCTCATTCTCTTACCACTCTCTCATCTTACTTGCTAGGAATAGATCCTAGATTTAATTCCACCAATTAAGCTCTAATTTTACCAAAAAGTTAGGATTCAGTTGTTTTTTTTTTTTTAATTTAATTTATTTTTCTTTATCATTATTATTATTATTAAAAACTACAACCATGATATTTGCATTGGTAGGACTGGGGTTGAAATGATATGGTCCATGAATTCAATTGTAATCATGCCCGCCGAAGGTGAGCAAAAATTGTAAAGGAATAAAAATCAAGGAGAAAGAAAGAAGGTAGAGCAAAAATGGAATGACATTCTATTTTACACTGTGAAATTTTAAAAGAAAATTACATGGCGTTTTATCTCATAAATTTGTCTTATAATTTTGTCTCCTCTCCCACTACTCTAACTTAAATTTCTTTTTAAATTGAAAAATAATAAAAGAGATGAATTATTTGGATGAAATCTTGAAACCAAAATTTCTGTTCAAATATTTAATACACAAAATAAAAGAAAAATCGCTGAAATAGTGGAATAGATGGGGCTTTGCCACTTCCGTCCATTTTTTTTAGTTTATAAAAATTATTTAAAATTTTGTTTAAGATATAGGGTCACAAGAGTTTATGATTTAGATTTAACAATTTTAGGTTACAAAATTTAAGATTTAACATGAAGAATTCAAATTTTAAGATTTGGATTTTAGAGTTTCCAAATTTAGCATTTAGGTTTATAATTTTATAGTTTTGGATTTAGAATTTTGTAACTGACTAATAAGAATTTAGAATTTGGAGTTTGGAGTTTATAATTCATAATTTAAAATTTAAAATTTATGATTTAGAGTTTTTGGATTCAAATTTGGCTTACCATATCATTAGTCCCATTTTTTCATCCTCAACATTCACTCGTGTATCATTGCTTAGGTGGAATTGTACACCAATTTGTTTACTACTCTTTCATTAATCTTAAAAAATCTTAATTTGAATTGGATACTAATTGGTACATCCTCTAATTTAACATATTGTACAAGATATTCATTAAAAAATTATTATTTTTGGATATGAAATTAAGACAGATAAATTTAAAGAAGTAGTCATGTATACAGAACGCAAGAATCAACTAAATCGAATTTACTTACATTGTATTTTAGGGAAATGATTCATGCACACCATAAATCAACACCCGGGTCATCACACAATCATTTCAAATGGAAAAAATAATGTTTTATTTGAGTGTATACTTTTTTTTTTTTTTGACAAGGGTAATGGTTAAGAAATTAGTAGAGTTAGTTGTTAGCAACTGGGATTTCTCAGACTAATGAACATTTCACCTCCTAATATAAGACGTGCGACCATTAGATTGCAAATTGATAGAATTCATGAGATGGCAGAACTCGAAACCCTGACCTCAACCTCACCAAAGCCCTAAGGCTTGGGGTCAACCACTGGAACTCAGGCCCGGTTGGCCGAGTGTATACTTATCATAACTTATTCTGAATAGTTGAAAACATGTTTTCTCAAATGTAGTAAATGTCCTTGTATTCTTTCTCATGTTTGCTCTACTTCTTTTGCTAGTCATTTTCCTAGACTCATTGTCTTTGCCATTCCTCCTGTTATGCTAGGGTAGTTAATGGAGAGATCCCGTTCATCTTCTCCAATTTTCTTTTTATTAAGGTTAAAATTAAGAGATTAAAGTTAACAAATAGTCAAAAATCCCTTCTCTTTCCCAAATCTATCTAATCTCCAACGCAAGAACAAAAATGAGAAAAATCCATGACTTCTTTTTTTTTTTTTCAAATCTTAGTTGGAGATCTAGCTTGATTTTGCCAATCTGCAGAATACGAGAGGAATTCAACCAAGCATTTAGAAGAACATCGCAAGTACATGTAGAAAGATGAAAAAAAAAATTCATTTGAAACCCATAAAATTCAAGACTACTTTTCCTCTTTTCAATTGCAAAATAAATCCCTCATCTGTCTAGGTTAGTGAATCTCAAATCCCTTTATCTCAACATTTCAGCAATGTGGATCTTTGTGGTGGAAGAAATTGAAATGGTGGTGCTACTTTCGGTGCTGCTTCAGAGGAAAGAGGCTGCAGTAATGGGAAAACGAGGAGGTTTTCATGGGAGGGAAAGGGATTAGGTAGTCTAGTGTTTTTGGGATCCAAGAGTTTAGATCTAACTGTTGGCTAGAGCACAAAAAAAAAAAAAAAAAAAAAAAGAATGAAAATTTTTAGATCGATAAAAAAGAAAAAAAAAGCTAGATTCAAATGGGATGAAATTGATGGTTACTGGTGGGTGATGAGTACCCAAACCGTGTGATGAGTACCCAAATTTTCTGGATTCTTTGCTATGGAGAAGCAAGGGGAATAGATGGAGTGGTAGGAAGAGAAAGAAGGAGAATGATGAGAATGGAGGAAGAGAAAGAAAGGAAGGAGAAGGGAGGAAGAGAAAGAAAGGAGGAATAAGCAAGGAAGAAGCGAGGAAAAGTAGTGGCCAACCGTGGTGATGGTGTTGCTGCCAATGCCAGTGCTGGAGAAGACATGGAAACGATGAAGAATCGAAGAAGGGAGAAGGGATTGAGTTATTGTGTGTTTGGAATAAAAAATAGAGTATGGTTGGCTACAAGGATAAGTTATTCAACACTTAT